CACCATGTTGACCAGGATGGTCTCGATCTCTTGACCTCGTGATCCACCCGCCTCGGCCTCCCAAAGTGCTGGGATTACAGGCGTGAGCCACCTCGCCCGGCTCATAAGTCGAACTTCTAAGCTAGAAATCTTAATATTGTCCTCAGCTTCTTACTTCACATGATTTGTAGTCACCTCAAACCATATTAACTCCACCTGGCAACGTTTTCTGACCTAGTTCACCCGGGCCCCCACCCCGGGCCCCACACTGGGCCCCACCCCAGGCCCCACCCCTAGCCCCACCCCTAGCTCCACCCCTAGCTCCACCCCGACTCTGGCTGCTGCTTTGGCTGAGATGCTCATTATTTTCTGCATTTGGCTGCTAACTTGAATTCTAGAAAACACTCTTTCTCTATAACTGCTGCATGCTGCTGTCAGAGTTTCTATCCTGAAAGGCTCATCACATTACCTGCCTGCTTAAAAACTCCTGCTGACTTCCTGTTTCTTACAGGAGAAAGAGAAAAATCTGAAGCTGTCATTCCAGTCGGCCCCACTCTACATTCCAAGCTCGTTTCTCACCACCTACCCCTCGAAGTCACGCATAACTTGCATAACAGTTTTCGTTTTTTTAACCTGCTATTCTCTTTGGCAGTGCCCTTCACTGGTATGCTGAAACTAGCTCTTGCTGGGTCTCACAAACCAACTCATAAATTTACAGGACTTTTGCAAGTCAGTTTGTCAGAGGCGTGTGAACCAGAGCATCTCTGTCTTGAATAAGAACTGGGTAAAATGAGGCTGAAACCTACCAGGCTGCGTTCCCAGATGGTTAAGGCGCTCTAAGTCACAGGATGACATACGAGGTCAGCACAAAATACAGGTCATAAAGACCTTGCAATAAAACAGGTTGCAGTAAAGGAGCTAGCTATAACCCACCAAAATGGTATGAGAGTGACCTCTGGTCATCCTCACTGCTACACTCCCCCCCGCGCTGTGACAGTTTACAGATGCCACGGCAACGTCAGGAAGTTACGCTATGTGGTCTAAAACAGGGAGGCATGAATAATCTACCCTTGTTCAGCACATAATCAAGAAATAACTATAAAAATGGGCAACGATGGGCCAGGTGCAGTGGCTCACGCTTGTAATCCCATCACTTTGGGAGGCCAAGTTGGGCGGATCCCCAGTGGTCAGGAGTTCGAAACCAGCCTGATCAGCACAGAGAAACGCCATCTCTACTAAAAATACAAAAATTAGCAGGGTGTGGTGGCGCATGCCTGTAATCCCAGCTACTCAGGAAACCGAGGCAGGAGAATCGTTTGAACCCGGGAGGTGGAAGATGTGGTGAGCTAAAATCACACTGTTGTGCTCCAGCCTGGGCAACAAGAGCGAAATTCTGTTTCAAAGAAAAAAAAAAGGTGGGGGGGAGGCCAATCGGTAGCCCTTGGGGCCACTCTGCTCTGCCTCTGAAGAGCCATTCTTTCTTTATTTCTTTACTTTCCTAATAAACTTGCTTTCACTTTACAGACTTGCCCTGGATTCTTTCTTGGTGAGATGCAAGAACCCTCTCTTGGGGTCTAGACCAGGACCGCTTTCTGGTAACAAGCTCACATTAAGTCAGTGGCTTGACATTGACCATGGTGGGAGAATATACATCGAGGAAATCAGCAAGTGCTACAAATCAGGGCGTAGACTGGCTCAGGTTCCAGGCCTCTGGTGGATCCCATCTGGCTAGGGATTTTTCCTATACCTTCTTCCTTGATTTCTTTTACTCAGCATGATTTTTGTAGGGGAAACCTTTCGTCTCACCTGGAGGTCATGCATGGACCTAAAGAACTGTATGTGGAGCACAGTAGCACTCTCTACACGTAGCAAAGTGCTGGAAGCAATTATGAAGCCAGCCTGTAAAGCACAAAATCAGTATGCAATAGGGTTCTCCCATTAGATTACAAGATCACAGTTTCCAACTGTTTACTCAAATATCCAAGACTTTCATGGCGAGCTACAAAGCAAACCTGAGGAGAACCTTACTGCCACTCCGTAACAAAGTCTAGCCCAGAGAAATTAAAGGGCTCACAGAGGGACCCAGAGCTCTAACCCGGTCACCCTAAAGCATTTCGTTTGTTCTTTCCCAGGAAACCTCTAGGGCTGCAATGCAGTCTCAGGAAGGGCCAAAAGTATAAAGCTGTCTCTTTCCAATTCCAAAACGTTTTTTTTGTTGTTGTTGTTTTTACTATCAACATAGAAAACAAATAGTTTCCATATTGCCAAAATACTAGCTTAGCTCCAAAACCCTCCTATAGCCCACACGACGTGTCAAGGGGAGTAGCTCACGTGTGCTGGCATTTGTTCTCTGCCAGTCACCGTTCTCATTGCCAAGGACTCTCGGACCAAGGGGACTCAGAGAATCACCCAAGGTCACTTGGCCAGTACATGGTGAACTGGCTTTGAACCCAAGCATTCTGGCTTCAAATCCCTCAACCATCACCCTCTACTGCCATTCACGAGCACATTTATTCTCAAACCTACATCAAAAAACTGGAAGATTTTACCTCTGAAACGAACATTTAGCTTCCCATATTTACACAAAGGGAAACTAAGGCCCAGAAAGGATTTGCGCCTTGGCCAGGCTCAGTGGCCACGGCAGCATAGTTCTTTTTTTTTTTTTTTTTTTTTTTTTTCCGAGACGGAGTTTCGCTCTTGTTACCCAGGCTAGGGTGCAATGGTGCGATCTCGGCTCACCGCAACCTCCGCCTCCTGGGTTCAGGCAATTCTCCTGCCTCAGCCTCCTAGTAGCCAGGATTACAGGCACGCACCACCATGCCCAGCTGATTTTTTGTATTTTTAGTAGAGACGGGGTTTCACCATGTTGGCCAGGATGGTCTCGATCTCTTGACCTCGTGATCCACCCGCCTCGGCCTCCCAAAGTGCTGAGATTACAGGCGTGATCCACCGCGCCGGGCGCACGGCAGCATAGCTCTACGCCTGACCACTGTGAATCAGGCTGCCACCCCCATCACTCTCCTTTCCTCTAGCTCTTCCTGAATAGCACGCATCTCTCCAAACTTCCCTAGTACTAACACAGGAGTTACTAAAGAATAATTTTAGGCAGATAGAGAGGGTAAAAGGAGTTATTGGTAAGGCTTTTTCTTTCTTTCTTCTTTTTTTTTTTTTTTTTTTTTTTTTTTTTTTTTTTTTTTTTTTTTTTTTTTTTTTTTTTTTTTTTTTTTTTTTTTTTTTTTTTTTTTTTTGAGACAAGAGTCTCACTCTGTTGCCCAGGCTGGAGTGCAGAGGCATGGTCTCGGCTCACTGCAACCTCCATCCCCCACAGCTACTCGGGAGGCTGAGGCAAGAGAATCACTTGAACCTCCATCAGGTTCAAGTGATTTTCTTGCCTCAGCCTCCCAGGTAGCTGGGAATACAGGCGCCTGCCACCACACCTGGCTGATTTTTGTATTTTTAGTAGAGACGGGGTTTCAACACCTTGGCCAGGCTGGTCTTGAACTCATGACCTCATGATCCACCCACCTCGACCTCCCAAAGTGCTGGATTACAGGCGTGAGCCACCGTGCCTGGCCCAAGGCTTTTTCTTTTAATGAAAGCAACCCCCGAACCATTTCTTTTCTAACAAAAAAACAACTTGAAGGAATAGGCTGGCAAGATTTGATATGCGAATGCCGGCTATTAGAAACAGTCCACCCAACATGGCAATTCCTGTCTTCTTCTTGTCACCCTGTGTGCCAAGTGTCATGGCTGACTCCAGATAACACCACGTGTTCAGGCGCCATGGCAACGCACATTTGCATATTAAGGACTAAGGTGGAAGGACCAGGATTTTTGTGAGCTACATAGATGACATACCTGGTCAAACCAATCTCCCGGGTCCTATGCAAACCAGACACCACCTCCTCCAGCATCCCCAATATAAGCAGCCGCTTTTCCGCCACACACAGGGTTTCTCTTTGTTCTAATCTCCCCTCCCTCTGTCTCTGTATGGGGGAGCTGTTTTCTTCTTCCCTCCTTCTTTCTTGCCTAAGAAACTCTCCGCTCCTTAAAGTCACTCCACGTGTGTCTGTGTCGTTTTAGCCACACTGGCACCAGACCACAGACCCTGGTGTTCCCCGGGTCATTGGAGCCTATCATTTTGGCACATTGGCCAGGAATTCATTCATCGGAGTGTGAGTAGGGAGTGAATCTTAACCTCAAATCTGTCCTTTCATCTCAAGGCTGTCTTCCAGCTCTCCTGTTACAAACCTTCCTTCTTTTCTTTCTGTCTGTGGTCTCTTGCTCTTTGCGAGTTGAATATGTGGGAATTTGTACAGTCTAGGGAAGTCATCCTGTTAGACCAGATCAGGAAATGCGGTGGGCGAGGATGTAGCTCAGGAAAATGCCATTGCAATCTTCTAGGAACAGAGTTCTCCCCTTGCCCCAACAGTGAGGTTACCCGCTAGTAAGTCCCTGGCAAGCCCACGGTATTGCTAAGCCAGCAGCGCCACCGGGTGGAAATAGGAATCCTCTGCATAAGACACACTGCAGGTGCTTCGCTAGGCTCTAGTCTTCTGTCACACCACTAAACATCAGGCTCCAGGTTACTTCCGTGAACAGGAGAGCTGTGCTTTCAACAGTTAAGAGTAAGATGTCTTCCAGAGCCAAATTTTAGTCTCAATACTGTCCCATCTTCAGGAAAAACGGCCATTCGGTTTTTATGTTTTTTTTTTAAGGCACCTACTCTGTCTCCAATCAAGACAGTACTGAATTAGTAAGGGGATTTTCAGTGCAGAAATTAACCAGAACCATGTTTCTAGAAGTAAATGCTTCAGCACAGGCTGTGATAGCAGGCAATCTAGCACGCTGCCTCTGTTAAAGGAGCGTTGCTCAAAGATGGCAGTCTCTCCAGAGATCTATTTTTGAGGGGAGCCAGGCAGATCACATAGGCTTAGGAAGGCAAAGGGAAATCACAGAAGGCGGATGTTCTAAGGTTGCGTGGGCGAAGCGTGGTTAGTGCCATCACTTAGTGCATCCGGCTTCGTGCCTTTGAGAACCATGCCTTCAACCATGGGCAGCACACTTAACTTGGTGCCGGAACGCAGGAACCAGGGAGGGAAAACGGCTGAAAGACCTTGCTCCCTGTCTTCGCCTCTACCCTGGGTCAAACGGAAGGAAGGAGACTGAGAGGATGCCGTTATTCTCACTGCTTTTTCTAGATGGGTAGCAGATTTCCTTCAGGTTGCACCCTCTGGAGCGCTCTCTAAAGCACTGGAATGCTTCCTTAGCCCGAGGACTTTAAAGAGAAAAGCGACTCATTTTCATTTGAACAAGGACCTGGCATTTTTACTAAACCTTTGCCAAGCGTTGGAAGGTCAACCCAGCCCTTTTAGCAATCTTATTGGGCAGTCCCAGGGAAAACAGTTCTTCAGAGGTTAAAGAAGCAACTTCCAGGGGAGCCATCTGAGGATCCGTCTTATTTGGGGCCCCTTCAAGTTCCCTTCTCATTACGAAAACTTAGGCAAATGAAGACGACTTAGGCCAGTTTTCTGATGACCCTGATAGGTATATAGCAGATTTCCATAATTTAGCCCAGTTATTTCACCTCACATGCAGGGATATTATGCCGCTCCTAAAGCAGACCCTCACTGCAGCTGAAAACCAGGAGGTTCTGTAAGCAGCAGATAGTTTTGGAGATGAGCAATATATCTCCTATAATACACCAAAAGGAAAGACAGCCAATAGGGAAAGCAAAAAAAAAAAAAAATAGCGGAAACACCATTCCCAACAGCAAAGGAAGCAGTTCCAGTAAACAATCCTAACTGGAACCCTGATAGCTCAGAAAAGGAAGCACTTTTTTGTTTGTTTTTGTTTTTTTGAGACAGAATCTCGCTGCCACCCAGGCTGGAGTGCAGAGGCGTGATCTCAGCTCACTGCAACCTCCGCCTCCCAGGTTCAAGCAATTCTCCTGCCTCAGCCTCCTGAGTACTTGAGACTACAGGCACCCACCACCACACCTGGCTAATTTTTGTATTTTTAGTAGAGGTGGGGTTTCACCAAGTTTGCCAGACTGGTTTCAAACTCCCGACCTCAGGTGATCTGCCTGCCCCAGCCTCCCAAAGTGCTGGGATTACAGGCATGAGCCACCATGCCTGGCCCACAAGCACTTTTTAATATACTTCTTATAAGGCCTACGGAAAACCAGAGCCAAACCTCTCACTTACTCTAAACTGTCTATAATAGACCAAAAGCCAGATGAGAATCCTATAGCCTTTATGGAAAGGCTGAGAGAAGCACTAATAGAACACACCTTCTTTTATCCCCAATTCAGCGGATGGACAGCTCATCCTGAAGGAGAGGTTTATCATACAGGCAGCTCCCAACATTAGAAGAAAACTATAGAATCAAGCTATAGGACCAAACAGCACCCTAGAGAACCTCCTGAATGGGGCCATTTTGGTCTTTTGTAATAGGGAGCAGGAGGAGGCCCAAAAGACAGAATGCTCTGGAGAAGGACAGGGCCTATAGGGCTTACCAAGTCCACGATCCCCAAGGTACATCCACCAGTGGCTCTGGGTGTGGCAGCCCAGGGTATTTTAAAGAGGAACGCCCTGTCCAGCCTGTGGCAGAAACCAGTGCAGACAGAACTGCCCCCAGATACGGAGGTCACTGGGCTCAGGACCAGTCTCGCAGATGGTCCCACCGGACTGACGGGTCCCATGCTCAAACCTCGGCTCCGGTGGCTCAAATTGCCATCACAGCATAGCAGCCCCGGGTGATACTGGAAATTGAAGAAAGGGAAGCAGATATCCTTCTAAACACTAGACCCAATCTCTCTCTTTCCAGGCTTCCCTTCTTCCCATAGCACGACCGTAAAAGGCATCTCGGGACAAGCTCTGACCCAGTATCTTTCTAACCTTAGTTGTGGTTAGGACCTACTTACGCGTGCCTCCAAGCTACTGTCATATAGCTCTACTAGTCAGAAAAGCCTCCGAGTTAGCCCTAGGAAGTAATTTAAGTGTTTACACCCCACATAATGTAGCAGGATCACTGTCCTCTAGGGGGAGCTCTCGGCCAGCAAACTGCTGGTAAAGCAACAAGTACTTAAGGCAGGATAAGCAGTAGTCCCTCTCCCCAAACTCAAGCGCTCAGTTAGCTGAGCTCACAGCTCTTAACGAGCCCTTCAACGAAGCAAGGGAAAGGTGGCTAACATTTACACTGACTCCAAGTATGCTTTCCTGATTTTCCATGCTCATGCTGCCATTTAAAAGGAAAGGCATTTTCTTACCACTAATGGATCTCCTATAAAATATCACCAGGAAATTAGCTGGTTATTATCCTCAGTTTTTCTTCCAGGAGAGATAGCAGTGATGTACTGCAGGGAACATCATAAGGGAACACATATGGCAGCCAAAGGAAGCAGACTGCAGATCAGGCAGCCAAGTCAAAGGCAAGGAAGCCTCAAGGCTCTGACACACTTTGAGCCCTTCTAATCTAGGAGGGCTCCATTTATAAGAAATTAAACCTCAGTATTCCTCTGCAGAAACAGAATAGGCTTCTTCTCAATGGCATGCCTTTCAGCCCTTAGGATGGCTACCGTCAGGATGGAAAACTATTTGCCAGCCGGCCGCCAATGAAAGTCCTTAAAATCCTTCACGAGATTTTCCCCTGGGAAAGGATGAAACTTTTACCAGTGTGCTCAGAGACTGTTTCCAGGCAGAAAACCTCTATCTTGGTTAAGCATATAACCTCTCTAGCTCACTTCCAACAGGAATTAGCACAACCAGCAGAAGCCCAACCCCCCAAAATAAAACCTTGATTTAACCCAAGAAATGTGTTATTAGTGAAAACTCTCATCTCTCTCCTTCCTAAGCCAGGCTGGGAAGGATCCTACACTGTTCTTTCAACCCTTTCGGAGGTAAAAGTTACCGGGATCAACTCCTGGATACGTCACACTCGAGTCAAAGCCTGAGGAGCTGAGGGAGCGACCCCCGCCCCCAGAGCCAGCCAGAGGAACGCCCTAAACATCAATGTGGAGAAATAAAAGATCTTAAGCTAAAAATCATCAAAGATAAGTGTGCAAGCTGCTCATCTTACTCAGTCCACTGTCACCCCAACAGATCCTTTCTGTCACTTCCACCCTTTCCTGTCAAAATGTGCCATCAAATAGAACTTCTTTTTAATGCATATTTGCAGAGAACGTTTAATTGCACATGGGATTGCATCTGTGACTTTGTAAATCTCCAAAGGGAAGTGTTATATCTTGGCAAATAAAGTTTTAAACAAAAATTATTTACTATGTCGTTCTTGTGGAAATTGTTACAATCACGCAATAGAACTATACACTGTGGCACCCAGAAAGTGGAAGTCTGATTGTAAGATTCTTTTTTTATTTTGAGATGGAGTTTCGCTCTTGTTGCCCAGGCTGGAGTGCAACGGCGTGATCTCGGCTCACTGCAACCTCTGTCTCCCAGATTCAAGCGATTCTCCTACCTCAGCTTCCTGAGTAGCTGGGATTACAGGATGCACCACCACACCTGGCTAATTTTGTATTTTTAGTAGAGACGGGGCTTCTCCATGTTGGTCAGGCTGGTCTTGAACTCTCGACCTCAAGTGATCCACTCACCTTTGCTGGGATTACAGGCGTGAGCCACCGTGCCCAGCCTGTAAAATTCTAATTGCTGTAATATTTTGCCTGATCATCATCCTTATAACAGGATTAATTATTGCAGGAGAAATTTAGTCAAGGTTGTTTTGCTGATAACAGGAGTAATAATTACAGATAAAAAGCAAACATAAAAGTTTTACTGTCATTAAGTTTAATAGGACTTTTTACTAAACGTTGGTAATATGATGCACTCTAAGTTATGAAAAGGTTATAAAAAAAGGAAATTTTATATAAGAAAGGATTTCGTGGCCAGGTGTGGTGGGGCTCACTTCTACAATCCCAGCACTTTGGGAGGCCAAGGTGGGTGGATCACATGAGGTCAGGAGTTCAAGACCAGCCTGGCCAACATGGTAAAACCTTGGCTCTACTAAAAATATAAACATTAGCCAGGCATGGTGATCACACCACTGCATCCAGCCTGGGTGACAAGCTGTATTAAAAAAGAAAAAGATTTTGTATGGTAAATACTTGTCCTAAAAGTCATTTGAACAAATCAGAAAAGTTTAAGTATGTTGTAAGAGAATCTGTGAAAGTCATGAAAAAAATTTAATAATTAAGGAAAGGAATTGTCAAAATTAACGCTAAAGTTATTTTAGACATCCAGTAACGTATTTCTCCCAATCATATTGCAAGTTACAAAAGCTATTCTCTAATGGCAAGTCAAGGGGGAAATGCATGCTTTCCTCAGGGAAAATGTCACTTCTACGCTAACGTTTCTGGTGGCACACAGCGACATCTAGTGGACACAAGCCCGCATTGCAATCCACTGGTGTAACTCACAGGTACCAAACTCCACTGTCAGTCACGACCTGTAGGACCCCCGCTCGCGGGGGTAATCTTAATGCTCATATTCTAACCCTGTATTTTAAACCTGCGTGTAAAACTTACCTCTTTTCACCTAGAAGGAACCAGACTCCAAATGGTGCTGCGCACAGAGCCACACATGGACAACCCATTCTTCCAAGACCCCTTAGGTCAACCTCAGGAGAAGGCTCAGCTGCTGTCCCCCACATGCCCCTTTTTAGCAGGGAGTAGCCAGAAAGAATCCTCATGCAACACCCCCTAACAGCATTTAGGTTTGCTTCTCTTGAGGAAGGAAATAATACAGAAGTTATTAAAAAATCATTTTTAGGAAGATAGAGAAGGTAAAAGAAGTTCTTAATAAGAATTTTTCTTTTCATAAGAGCAACCCCCAAACCATTTCTTTCTCTTGCTCTCTCTCTCTCTCTCTCTCTCTCTCTTTTGAGCTGGAGTCTCTCTCTGTCACCAGGCTGGAGTTTAGTGGTGCGATCTTGGCTCACTGCAACCTCCGCCTCCCGGGTTCAAGCAATTCTCCTGCCTCAGCCTCCAGAGTAGCTGGGACTACAGGCACCTGCCATCACTCCCGGCTAATTTTTTGTGCTTTTAGTAGAGACAGGTTTTCATCATGTTGGCCACGATATCTCAATCTCCTGACCTCATGATATGCCCACTTCGGCCTCCCAAAGTGCTGGGATTACAGGCGTGAGCCACCACGTCCCGCCTGCCATTTCTCTCCTAACAGAAAAACAGCTTGAAGGGCTAGGCTGGCAAGCTTTGAAACGCAAATATCACCCATTAGAAATGGTTCGCCCAATATGGCGATTCCTGCCTTCTTCTTGTCACCAAGCGTGCCAAGTGTCACGGCCACCTCTGGATAACACCATGTGTTCAGAACATCAGGGCAACCCACATTTGCATATTAAAGACCTAAGGTGGGAGGGCCTGGCTATGTAAATAACGTACGCGGTCAAACCAATCCCCTGGGCCCTATGCAAATCAGACACCACCTCCTCCAGCATCCCAACACAAGCAGCTGCTTTTCTACCACACCCAGGATTTCTCATTGTTCAAATTCCCTCTCGTCTGTCTCTGTATGGGGAAGCTGTTTTCTTCTTTCTTCCTTCTTTCTTGCCTAATAAACTCTCTGTTCCTTAAAACCACTCCACATGCGTCTCTGTTGTTTTACCTAAACTGGCACGAGACCAAGGACCCTGGTGTCCTCCAGTCAGTGGAGCCTGTCATTTACACCTCTCTTGGTCCTGTTCCTGTCTCAGTCACCTCTGCCCTCCCAACACAGGCACATAAAAATGAGACTTTAAAAAAATAATTAGCACTCCCATCTCTGCTACCTATCACAACAATAACGAGATTTGAGCTCCTCAGTTAAAGGTCTGGGTCTCGGGGACCAAAGGTTTTTCCAGTGCCTCATGTACACAAGGTCATACAGAAATGTCCCTCCTGAGGCGACCAAGCTGCTAACAGCCTCCCTTGATTGCCAGGACGGCAGCACTTGTTTCTGAATGTTCCAAGTGGCAGCTGACTACAGCAGCACCAAAGAACCGAACTTACAAACAAAACCTCCCATACACCCCTCTTTGATACGGCAGTTCAGAGCTTGCCCACTCACGCCCTCTGACTTCACAAGTGTGTTACGCAGGACGCTCCAGAGGTTGGATTAATCTTCCGCTTTGTATAAAGTGCAGGAAGTGGTAAATTAGACACCACATTTGAAAAATTGTTTCTTAGGCTAGGCGCAGTGGCTCACACCTGTAATCCCAGCACTCTGGGAGGCCAAGGCGGGTGGATCATGAGGCCAAGAGATCAAGACCATCCTGGCCAACATGGTGAAACCCCGTCTCTACTAAAAATACAATAATTAGCTCGGCGGGGTGGTGCACGCCTCTAGTCCCAGCTACTTGGGAGGCTGAGGCAAGGGAATTGCTTGAACCTGGGAGCGGAGGTTGCAGTGAGCCAAGATCGCACCACTGCACTCCAGCCTGTCAATAGACTGAGACTCCATCAAAAAAAAGAAAGAAAAATCATTTTTTTAAAATTGTACTTTAGGTTCTGGGGTGCATGTGCAGATTATGCAGGATTGTTGCATAGGTACACACATGGCAATGTGGTTTGCTGCCTCCATCCCCCATCACCTACATCTGGCATTTCTCCCCATGTTATCCCTCCCCAACCTCTCCACCCCCCACTGTCCCTCCCCTATTTCCCCACCAACAGACCTCAGTGTGTGATACTCCCCTGTGTCCATGTGTTCTCACTGTTCAATACCCGCCTATGAGTAAGAACATGTAGTGTTTGATTTTCTGCTCTTGTGTCAGTTTGCTGAGAATGTTGGTTTCCACATTCATCCATGTCCCTACAAAGGACACAAATTCATTGCTTTTTAAGAAAAATCATTTCTTAAATGGCACATAAACACAAAAGATACAAGGCAAATGATTTCTATAGACATCTACAGACACCTGAAGTCAGATTCAGATAGTAATAAATTAAGCACCCTTTTGTACACATTCACATGGTGATTATGACAAATTACTGCCTACTATATGAAATAATAATAAACCATGGACCCTTCTGAATGGCCCTTTACAGTTTATGACCTTTTGAACTTTCACTCTTCTGAGTGTCGCAAGGACTTGTGATAGGAAAAGCAGGTATTACACTCATGTATGCTCATTTGGGACTCAGAGAACTTAAATACTTTGCTCAGGATCATAAAGCCCTAAGTGACAAAGCAAGCACTAGAACTCTCAAAAGTTCCACTGATCCTGACCCCACTGTTCTGAATATTATCGATCGGAACACCAAAGTCAGTCACTGACTCATTATTTTAAACAGAAGCCCCTCCTATTACACGGGTTTTGCTGTACTTAAGATGAAAAGGCTTACAATCAGTGTAGGGAGGGGAAGTAGGTCATGAAATGTATCCCAAATTCTACCCCACTGGCAGCACATTCTCTCAGCCAGCTGATCTGCTGGGCTGGTTGGCAGGACCAGTTTGCCTACAGAAGCAGTGCCTGAGAAACTTAGCATCAGCACAAAAGCCAAGCCTTTACAATACCCACAATCTCTACGGCCCTCAGTTTCAAGTTAATTCCGCTCAGTCTCTCCTCGGCCCAAGGCCTTACAAGGCAGGATGGCCTGCCAGTTCAGAGGCAAGAAGGAAGTCATTTCTGGCTGCTGGGATGCAATCCAGAATCACAAACAATGGCGTGTTGAAGTCTACACCAGGAGCAGCTTCTGGTTTTAACGCATTCAGGAAATTGGAACAATTCACTCCTTACAAACGGCTAGTCTATTAATAGATCCACGATTATAACAAACTTGTTTAATGTCTAAGTGCAAATCAAAATACCTATACAACAATTGAGATCATTATATTGTCTTACTGAGGAGAATTTACAGGTGACATACTCTGCCACAAGGAAAATGGTCTATATTTTTTACCTGCTCATTCAAACATTTAAAAAAAATTTTAATTTTATATATTAAATAGACTTTAAAGGGGTATGTGTGATCTCACGCCTATAATTCTAGCACTTCGGGAGGCCAAGGAGGGCAGATCACCTGTGTTCAGGAGTTTCAAACCAGCCTGAGCCACATGGCAAAAAACCATCTCTACTAAAAATACAAAAAATTAATCAGGCATGGTGGTGGATACCTGTAATCCTAGCTATTTGGGAGGCTGAGGCATGAGAATCTCTTGAACCCAAGAAGCAGAGGTAACAGTGAGCCAAGATCACACCACTGCACTCCAGCCTGGGCGACAGAGCAAAAGCTTATTTTTTTGCGACAGCTCTTACTGTTGCCTGGTGTGGTCTCAAACACCTGGGCTCAAGCGATCCTCCCGCCTCAGCCTCCCAAAGGGCTGGGATTACAGTGAGCTACCATGCCTAGCCTAAAATATTCTCAATTTGATGACATTGAATCTGGTTCTTTTTGATACTTTTTTTTTTTTTTTTTTGAGATGGAGTCTCATTCTTGTGGCCCAGGCTGGAGTGTAGTGGTATGATCTCCGCTCACTGTAGCCTCTGCCTCCCAGGTTCCAGCAATTCTCCTGCCTCAGCCTCCTGGGTGGCTGGGACTACAGGTGCATGCCACCATACCTGGCTAATTTTTGTATTTTTAGTAGAGCTCAGGTTTTACCATGTTGTCCAGGCTGGTCTTGAACTCCTGACCTCAGGTGATCCACACGCCTCAGCCTCCAAAAAGTACTGGGATTATAGGTATGAGCCACCGTACCTGGCCTTTGATTCTTTTTAAGAACATGTTTTCCCCTACTGTCTATTCCATCCCTGATGCAAAATTTCTCAGTCACTTTGCCAGCCAGGACCTCCAGCTGGTGACACCCCATGATCCCCACCACCACCCCAGGCCTTGCTTGGCCCTGGGCCTGCTGCTGGAGGAATCTCACTCACTTGGCCCACTGGAGCCAAGTCTGGCTTGTGCACTGGCTCAGCCCATGGCTAAGCCCGGCATGCCCCAGCCCACCTGTGTTATAGCTTGTACCAATGTTCAGTGGTTCCCAAGTTTTTGTCCCATGTACAAGAAGAATGAGGATATGCTGACAATTGAAGGGTAAGGATGGGTGGAGAAGAATTTTATTGAGTGACAGAGCAGCTCTCAGCAGAGAGGGAATGGGGGGCTTGGTCCCCTACCCCTGTAGTCAGATGGTTTCTCTCCCAATGTGACTGGGTCTGGACAGTGTGGCTTTTTATAGACTCAGAATAGAGAACATGTGCTGACTGGTTTGTGAAGATGCAAAAAAGGTTAAAGTGAAGACACCACTCAAAAGTGGGCATGATGGTATAGAAAACCAATTAGGAAAGGGTAGGTATATGTAAAATAGGTGAAGGGTGAGGATCAACCAGAGGAAATCAGGCCAAATGGGAAGAGGTGTTCTCAATCTGGTCCGTGGATTTACCTGGGACTTGTAACTAGGCTTTAAACTGTCTTCAGCTTGAAGGTCAGGTCTCACCAGGTCCCTGCCCTTTTCTGCCTAGGCATTTGTCTGCCTCCTGCCATATCACCCCTACCCGTCATCCCCTGGACAAAACCCAGAGAAGCGAAAGTCTGATAGGTAGACCCTAACTGAAGAGAAAAAGGGATTTGACTCACCAAAAGGTTAGTAAATTATTAATTTTAAAATGTACCTGTTTCTAGGGGAAGGTTATTAAGAACTAATTCTTTTCTTATCTCTATTATCATCTTTACCAATCAAGTTGTCCAGTCCAGGGCTATTCAAAGGATGGCCCACAGACTGGCAGCATTTGAATGCAAATTATTGCGCCCCAACTCTTCGTACTGAGTTAGAACCACTGGGGCAGACCCAGGAGTTTCTCCTGGTGATTCTTTTGCACATTAGAGTTAAGAAACATTGGCCTAGTCAATTAAAGGTGTGAAATAGACTCTCATTAGGCAGGGTTTATTCTTAATGATTTTCTTTGCCAAGGTAATGGGTGAGTCATCTTGGGGCAACACTGCTAAGAGGACAACTTGTAATGACAAAACTCAGATAGAATGTCTGAATGATGGCTGGTGGCCTCTCTCAGGCTGGAATGGTCCCTCCCCTGAACTCTACCTCATCCTTCAAGAGACCACCTCTAAGTCTGGGCACAGTGGCTCACGCCTATAATCCCAGCACTTTGGGAGGACAAGGCAGGTGGATCATGAGGTCAGGAGTTCAAGACCAGCCTGACCAACATGATGAAACCCCATCTCTACTAAAAATACAAAAATTAGCCAGGTGTGGGGGTGCATGCCTGTTATCCCAGCTACTCAGGAGGCCAAGGCAGGAGAATTGCTTGAACCCAGGAGGTGAAGGTTATAGTGAACCGAGATCATACCACTGCACGCCAGCAGTGTACTGTACAAACAAAAACAACATGGACCTGAATGAAACATCCAGTAAACAAATTCCTCAGGAGAGTTAATAATAACTCAATCTTAGATCTGATGAGTTTAGTTGTGAAATTAAGCCACACTGACATAAGGAGCCAGTTGAAAGGATATTGTCTAGTCTATGTGCAATTCTGTAGAGAAATCCTAGTAGTAGGAATTCACAGTTTAGCAGAATATCATTAAAGGCCCATCTTTTGGTCCGGGCGTGGTGGCTCATGCCTGTAATCCCAGCACTTTGAGAGGCCGAGGCGGACAGATCACTTGAGGTCAGGAGTTTGAGTCCAGCCTGGCCAGCATGATGAAACCCCATCTTTACTAAAAACACAAAAACTATCAAGGCATGGTGGTATGTGCCTGTAATCCCAGTTACATTGGAGGCTGAGGCAGGAGAATTGCTTGAGCCTGGGAGGCGAGGTTGCAGCAAGCCGAGATTGTGCCACTGCATTCCAGCCTAGGCGACAGAGCAAGACTCCATCTCAAAAAGCAAACAAACAAAAACTTATCTGTGGGGCGAGGGGGCAGTGGCTCACACCTGTAATCCCAGCAATTTGGGAGGCCAAGGCGGGTAGACTGCTTGAGCTGAGAAGTTTGACATCAGCCTGGGTAACATGGTAAATCCCATCTCTACTAAAAATACAAAAACTTAGCCAGTTGGGGTGGTCCACGCCTGTAGGCCCAGCTGCTTGGGAGGCTGAGATGTCAGGATGGTTTGAGCCTGGGAGACAGAGGTTGCAGTGAGTCAAGATTACACCACTGTACTCCAGCCTGGGCAAGAGTGAGACACTATCTCAAAAAAAAAAAAAAAAAAAAAAGAGAGAGAAAGAAAGACTCATTTTTACTGAGCTCATAGCTGGCTTCTCTTGACCGAATTCTCTCTAATCTAGGTCTCAGCCTTCATTTCCTCAGACATCCAACCGTATAGGCCATGGGGCTGCACTGATTTTGCTTACGTGAGTTCTATGTGATACTAGATACTGGGACATGGACATGCAAAGCCATCCCAACGATCTAAGCGGTTCCAAGGGACCCGAGGAATAAGCGTAAAGTGTTCTGAAGGAGACTTGAGGTTAAGGCTCTTCAGATGGGGGTCCTAGGTTTTATGCAAAAGCGCTGGGTGATCCTGGGCCCTTCCAGAAATTTGGTCATACATGCTAAACTTTCCACACTTTCTTTGCATTTTTTTCCTAATTTCATAACCTACTTCCCCTGTTATTGCTTTTCTTATTGTCTTTCTCACACCAAGTTTTCCTAGTTGATTCTAGAGGCATTAATATGCCAGGAATCAAGTTCTCTTCCCCATTTTTTCTTGGAGGAGGGAGAGCTAGGAAGGAGTAACATGAAGGAGTTTTAAGAAAGTGGAAAACATGCTTTGCATGAAAAGAAGTGGGCTGGTATTGACACAAGCTGCTTGCTGCCTTTCTGTTTGGGCATCTCCTGAACAACTGTAAAGTTAATGGACAATAATGGTGAGAATTACAGAGCAGGGGTCAGAAGCTTTCACTGATGAGACATAGCTGTACTCCTTTAATCCAACCAAATAGGCCTCCTTCCCACGCTCATTCCTACCAACTTGGTTTTGTTCATGGTTTGTCATTTTTTTCTCCCCTGCTACACATGCCATGCTTCCCTTAGCCCCCGGGCGATATTATTCTGACCCATTCTTAAGGTACAGCTTCCATCTGAACCTTCCCAACGCCATCGCAGCTCAGTTTCCACCCCTTGGAGTTCACAGCCTTGAAAGCTGTCCCGCCCATTTGAAAACTACCCACGTACTGACTTGCCTCCCGGCATCTCTAGGCTGATGGTTCCTGTACTATTTTGCTCGTTGCAAAGTATGTTTCACCTTCTCAAATGGATTCTGAATCTCTCAAGCACAAGAACCCCCGGAACAATTGTGAAAATGAAAGTAATTCAATAAATATTTGTTAATTACATGAAACATTCAATGAGCTTCCCGTAGAATACAGGCCATAAACTCGTCTTCAGGGTCCAGGGCAACTAATGCAAATGAGTAAAACAGGTGTAATATCGAGGAGTAGGGAGTCTCGTGGTAAGCTAGAGAAACAATGCCCTAAGAAAAAGCAGCTGCTGCCCAGTCACAGGCAATGTGTGACATGGAGATGCTGGCCTCATGTTGCCAGATGGCAATTTTTCAAGAGAAGGAGAAAGCCCAGACTGTGTGAAATACCTGTAACTTTCAGTGTTGGCAATGAGTTAAAAAATGTTTAATATGCAACGTGGGCCAAAAATAACACGTGCAGGTCAGTCTCTTGCTGTCAAGCTGGCTGTTTGAAAGTTCAATCACATCCTGGCTGGGTGCGGTGGCTCACACCTGTAATTCCAGCACTTTGGGAGGCTGAGGTGGGCAGATCACCTGAGATCGGGAGTTTGAGGCCAGCATGACCAACATGGAGAAACCCCGTTTCTAATATGAAGTACAAAATCAGATGTGCATGGTGGCCCATGCCTGTAATCCCAGCTACTTGGGAGGCTGAGGCAGGAGAATCACTTGAACCCGGGACGCAGAGGTTGTGGTGGGCCGGTATCATGCCATTGCACCCCCGCCTGGGCCACAAGAGTGAAATTCCATCTCAAAAAAAAAAAACCATTTGATCACGTATTGTCAAACAATAACACGTATAATTAACAGTGTTCTATCCCCTAACCTGGACAACAAACAGAATCAGGGCATAAAATTGAAATGTGATGGTTCATTTTGTTTAAAATTTTTAATTAATACATAGAAACAGTTTAATTAGAGAACAACGAAAATGAACATGGAGGCTGGGCGTGGCGGCTCACGCCTGTAATCCCAGCACTTTGGGAGACCGAGGCGGGTGGAACACCTGAGGTCAGAAGTTCGTGACCAGCCTGACCAACATAGTGAAACTCCATCTCCACTAAAAATACAAAAATTAGCTGGGCGTGGTGGCAGACTCCGGTAATCCCAGCTACTCAGGAGGCTGAGGCACAGGAATTGCTTGAACCTGGGAGGCAGAGGTTGTAGTGAGTTGAGATCATGTGACTGCACTCTAGGCTGGACAAAAAGATCAAAACAAAAAAAAAAAAAAAAAAAAAAGAGGAAAGAAAGAAGAAAATGAACATGGACATGGAGATTACATAGACATTAAAGGAATTTATTGGATCTTCTCCAGAGCTGATGCACTTGTTTCCTTTTAGGATTTCTTTTCCCTTCAAAGCATAGTTTTTCCTTGAGTCTAGTCTTGCCAGAGGTAATAATGGTCACTCTTGGGAAAAATAACAAAATAAATGGAAAGACTAATTTTTCTGAGGTCATTACTGGTTTGGAGTTAGAAGACTAAAGGAAAATAGGCTAATGAGATCATATATTTTTATATAAAAATATGTATCAATATATTTATATCTGTATGACAGAAAGTCCAAGCTGCCTAAATGCTATCCTCCTCACCCTTCACCAAGGATAGCGCTGTCCACACTCAAGTACCAGGAAGTAGGCTATTT